CAGCACAACACACAGCGGCTTCTTCTCCGTTGGCGGCGGCGGCTAGGGTTTTACCACCTCCAAAACCCTAATCTTTCCATCCAATCCAATCCGTCCGTCGTCCATGCCGGCGGCCTCCTGCTAGATTCGCTCACGCCGGAGTTTTTTTCAGCTAGTTTGAGTGCTTGGTGTGGTGCGGCGCGGCGGAGATGACGTCCAACCAGTTCGATCTCCTCGGCGACGTCGACAACGACGACCCCTCGCAGCTCCTCGCCGCCGCCGCCGCCAAGAAGGCCGCCGAGCCCAAGCCCGCCGCGCCCGCCGCCAAGCCCGGCTCCAAGCCGCCCGCCAAGACCCCGCCGCCCGGTGAGTGACCCTCTCGGTTCGCTCTCTCTCCGATTCGATTGCTGGATGTGTCTTTCGACGCGAGCTTCCATTTCTGTTGCTCATGGTGTGATTCGATTGCTCGATTTGTGGCTGCAGCGGAGGACAGGGGCAACAGGGACGGCGCCGGGCGCGGGAGGGGCGGCCGCGGAGGCGGTGGCGGGGCCAGGACCGGCCCGCGGCGGGACTACGGCGACGCGGACGCCAACGGCGGCTTCGAGGGCGGGGGCGGCGGCGGCGGCTATCCGGCGCCTCGCCTGGAGGACGGCGAGGGGAAGCAGGCGGAGAGGGGGCGCGGGCCGCGCCAGCCCTACCGCGGAGGGGGCGGCCGCCGCGGGGGCTACTCCGACGGGCAGAACACGGACGAGTTCGGGCGCCCGCACCGCTCCTACGAGCGCCGCAGCGGCACCGGCCGCGGCTTCGGGATGAAGCGCGACGGCGCTGGCCGCGGCAACTGGGGGACTGCCACCGACGAAGGGTTCCCACAGTTAAGATTGATCCAATTAGTCTCTGGTTTCATGGCAAGATGCTGATACTTTTTGCTGTTGTGATGTGTGGAGCTTGACGTTTCTTATGTGGCTGGTGGTGATCAGGGAAAATGTGGAGGCTGTCAACACTGAGGAGACCCCTGCTGTGGCAGAGGATGAGAAGAAGCCCGAGGATGCGCCGCAGCCCGAGGCTGAGAAGGTCAAGGAGGGTGCAGAGAATGAAGAGGAAGAGAAGGAAGCTGAGGAAGATAAGGTATATTTTTCAGAATTTGCCATCATCTGATTGATTTAAATTGTGTTGTGGTAGTTGTATGGCGTGTACATTTTGTATTGGCGACAATGGTGATGGTAGCATTTCTTGCTGGATTGGACAATCCAGATACTCCCTCCGATCCGAATTAAATGACGCAGTCTCTATACAATGGCGTAGTTGTCCGTTTTACATTGTATTGAGGTTGCGTCAATTAATTCGGATCAGAGGGACTATCATGTTTTACATATGCTATTCTAGGGGTGTATTAATTCGGATTGGAGGGATATCATGTTTTACATATGCTATTCTAGGGATGTAACGTAATACAGTTACTCGACCAGTCTAGATTTTTGCTGTACACCTGCTCGCGGGATAGCTACTTCTGTCACATTACAGAATGGTTTGAATTAAGCTCTTTGGAAACTGGAATTTTTTCCTCATCCTCCAGGCTAATCTTATTGTCAGCTTTTGTAGTTATCTTCTCATTCGTGCCCATTGCTACATACTTCTGTCAGAATGTATTGCGTTGTTTTTTGTCGCGATTGATCACATACATTTTAGGGTTGTCTGACATCCATGCCAAGCACTAACTAACCTCAGTGAACCATTTGATTTGCTGATGGCATCTAAATAAGTGGTAGATGAAATGCATATATACACGTACTGAAATATCAGTTTCTTTAATCGTCATTCACTTTGAAGGCTTACTTGTAATTTGGTTGGGAGTAATGAAATATGGTTGATCCAGTGAGACTGACATTCTCAGAAATGAGTTGCCAGTGCTCAATTTCACCTAGGCAATAGTTGGTTCATATAACAGCATCCTCTCTGATGTGATGTACTCTTGTTTAATTTTATTTTGGCAATATCTTTTCCTAGAATTTCTGACTTCCTGTTATTTAATTGAGATGTTGAGTGCAATTTTGTTCCTTGTTTGTGGTCCAGAATTCTTTGATATATTCCTGGGCTTGTTTCTATTATGATGAAGGTGTGTTCAGTTACAGTGTCACTGCGCCTTCTCCATCTTCACCCTTCATTTTGGGGATGGCTTATCATGACATATTCAACTTCTCTTGAGCTTTCTGGTGCTTCTGTGCTGTTGTCTGTACATGTTCTGCTTTTGCATTTGTTTTCTGTACATGATCCAGGCATCTCATTACAAGTTTGAATAGGTTACCTGTGGCATGCTTGTGCTCTTTCTGATGCCTAATGTTTGTCCTGTGGCATGCTACACCTGTCATTGAAATAACTTGTACTTTGACCATACAGGAGATGACCTTGGAGGAGTATGAGAAAGTGTTGGAGGAGAAGCGGAAAGCGATACTCGCACTGAAGGCTGAGGAGAGAAAGGTTGAAGTTGACAAGGAGCTGCAGTCCATGCAGCAACTGTCAGTGAAGAAGGATGCTGAGGAAGTATTTATCAAGCTGGTAAGTTGTACATCAGGCTGTCTTTCTTCTTCATGTGGTCATATTGATGCTAACTTTCAGCCACCACCCCTGGTGTAGGGCTCTGACAAGGAGAAGAAGAAAGAAAGCACAGAAAGAGAGGAGCGTGCCAAGAAGGTATCCTGCGCATTTCTGTCCTGTCCTGTTACTTTGGTCCGAGCAACTGGTGTATCTTCTACTAACCGTTATGCTGTGTTTGCTCTGATGCTGCCTGTCCCTGCCTGAAGTCCCTCAGCATCAATGAGTTCCTGAAGCCGGCTGAAGGCGAGAGGTACAATGGCGGGCGGGGCCGCGGCCGTGGCTTCAGGGGACGCGGCGAGGCCCGTGGCGGGTACAACGGCGGCGGCGGTGGTGGCCGGCGACCAGCTGCTGCTCCGGCGATCGAAGACCAGTCCCAGTTTCCGACGCTAGGTGGGAAGTGAAGGGGTCCGTGTCCCGTGCCCTGATCCGACTAGCAGCGGCTCCTCGGTGGTTCGCTCCAGACTGTGTCCTTGTTGAGTTGTCAGTACTCAGTAGCGTGTCGTCGTTTCGCCTGTCTGTCTTTTTGCCTGTCTGTCTTTTTATCTGTCGCCGTGTGTGTATCCCGTGTACACCTGAGGTGCACCCACCCGTGTCGTGTCTTGTTTTAGCCGCAGCTTATTCCGTTCATTTGGATAGGACAATGTCATGTATGAGATGTTTTCCTGGTGCACTTGCTGCTCTTATCTGTGTCGTGTCTGCTTGGTTCAGTGATTTTGTTCAGCTGAGAATTATGTCATCTTTCTTCCTTAGCCGTAGCTGTTTAGTAGGAGTGTTTGCTATGCATATTCTCTGTTGGAAAGTTATGCTGCCTGCCATGGCAAGGCGTGCTTGTGCAAAGATTGTGCCAGGCCTGAGAAAAGATGTATGCAAATCACAACAGAAATGACATCAGTTTCTCAAGCAGTGAGACCCCGCACAGTTCCTGTGTAGAAAACTTAAACTGAACGTATGCCAATCACGCATTGTATCAGTTCAAGCACAGAAACTAGAGCTAAACAGAACTCGTCATAGTGCACTGCCCTATTGCTATTTTGTTAGCTTAAATTTGGTAATGCGGCAGTGTGGAAGTAAAGGTAATGGAGAGAGCCCATACTCTTTTAAGTTTAGTGCACGGCTTAACTTTTTTGTCAGTGGAGCAGCATAGGCAACCGGGCAGTATACAATGATCCGCACGAATTTCAGAGCGCTGCAGATTAGATTAACCAGCACATTAGTACTAATCAGGCTGGAAGGCACACCAACCCCCTCCCCCCCGCATACCATCAGGCATTGACGCTGGTCGTCGTCTTCTTCCTCGGCCCAGGCCATCGCGATCCAGACCCATATCTCAATCCCTGCTCGCCGGCCGGCCACCGGTCCTGCAGAAGCACAACAGCTAGTGGATCAAATTTGGGCAGGTAACTATCAATCTGCTGTTACTCTTGTTTTTCCACCTGCTGCTGCTGCTGCTGTCGAAAGACATACCGAATGGTACTTGTTTCAGCCTTACTAAGCGAATTCGAAAGCTTCTTCTAGGCACACGCGCGCATAGCAAACAACTTCATCACCAAATGCTTGTTCCCCTAGACCATGTCACCTTGACTCAAGGTCCTCGAGTTCTAGCTTCTGTAGCCGTGATTGTAGGCAGCAAATAAGCACATCTCAAACCATCTACTACCTCTGTATCAAAATATAAGACGTTTTTGTAGCCATGGTTTCCTGCATATACATCTTTTTAGCCAAAAAAATGGCATTGCTCTTATTTCAAGGGTACTGCACCATGGCAGGTGATTGATTGCAAATGGACCATGAAATCAATGCTTTGGAGCGCATGCTGCTGGATGAAAGCGCAGAGCCAACAGATCTGCCATTTTCACTTCTACAAGACATCACAAACTGTTTCTCTGACGACCGGCGAATCGGCAGCGGCGGGTTTGCGGTTGTTTATAAGGTACTATTGCAACTTGAATAATTTTCGTCAGACATAACGACAGTTGACCTAATAAGTACGTAAACAACAATTGCACACCACAATCACGTCAATATGTCATCACACACAAGGTTGATGCTCACTCTCTGCACGTTGAGGCCGCAGGGGATGACCAGACATGGGATGGTCGCTGTAAAGAAGCTGTCCAAACTCTTTGACATAGAAGAGAAGAAGTTCCACAAGGAGGTTGAATGCTTGGTGAAGGCCAAGCACAAGAATATAGTACGATTTCTGGGATATTGCGCTGAAACACAAGGTAAAATTGCGGACTACGAGGGGAAGTTTGTCATTGCAGATACACGCAACTGGTTGCTCTGTTTTGAGTATGTACCCAATGGGAGCCTTGATAAGTATATTGCAGGTAGGCTCAATAGTTTTTATTTCCATCTTTATTATATTCTTTAAGCGTCGTACAAGCAATACAACTGTGTAAAATGTTATACATTATCTCTACCTAAAGTGCAAAAATCTGAGAGGCCTTCCTCTGCACAAACATTACAACTATTCAAAATATTTTACATTGTCTCATATTCATAGATCCACATTATATTGTTTGTCTAAAGCACAAAAATCTGAAATCCTCTTCCTCTGTAGACCCATTTCATGGAATTGAATGGAGGGAGCGCTTTGAGATAATTAAGGCAATATGTGAGGGCTTACATTATCTTCATGGCAAGCGTATTCTTCATTTGGATCTCAAGCCTGAGAATATACTGATAGATGATCACATGGTACCCAAAATTGCTGATTTTGGTCTTTCGAGGTGCCTTAGTGAAGAGCAAACCCAGGTTTTCACTACACACCTATGCGGATCGTGGTAAGCCAACCTCATAAAAATCCATCTTTTTTTTTCATGAATTTTATACTGGATTTGCACATATGTATAATTCATCCATGGTCCTTGGACTCATGTGGTGTGGTCACTTGGTTCGCAAACTTTAAAAGATGTAGTTTGGGTCCTTAAACTTGTGTTTCTTTTTTACATTTTTATCCCAGCGTTCCTAAATTGATTCTTCCATCATCGGCCCATGCTGAAAGCAAACGCCCAATCGAGCATAAATTAATAGATACAAATGCACCACAATAGCAAAATAAGAAAATAACAAAATAATAGAATGCCTCACTTACTTTGTGATTGTGTACTTGACAAGATCAAGGTTCTACTCACAACTATTTGTCAAGCACCTCTTCATGATTCTAAATCCACAGCTCGTGCAATCGAGAAGCAACAAAGCCCCCATCTATGGAGCACACAACTCTAAGTGTTTGTGGAAGCCATGGTATGGCTTTGGGTCGGGACACATTGGGCATTTGGAAATTGTAGTTTCGAGGACGAATAGAGATAATGAGGAATAGCTATGATGTGTAAACAATATGGATCCGAGGACAAAAAAAACTCTTCCCATGCTTAGCGTGTCCATCCTCTTTGCATTGTGGCAACAAATCTTTTTTTCTTTGATTGGCAGCTGATCGTGTTTTGGAGCAAAGTGAAGCACTAAACAAATTTTAGGGACCCCAATAGTAAGTTTTTAAGTTCAAGAACCAAAGTGACTACACCATACAAGTCTACCAATCCATGGATGCATTTTACTCTTTGCATGTTCATTGATTGATCTTTATATATCTTCTTGCAGCGGATATTTGGCACCCGAATTCTTTAGTGGACAACTGACATTCGCGTCTGACATATATAGTCTTGGTGTTGTAATTATGGAGATACTAACAGGAAAGAAGGGGTATCCAGAAGATGAGAACGTGAGAGCAATAATTTAAGCATTTGCTACTAATTAAAGTATAGCTTTTCAATGCTTTACATTAAATGTTTCTTACGTATTCGCATAATTCCATCTTTTAAATACTCGCACGTGGGGGGGGGGGGGTCCAAAGATGCTATATAATGAATTTATAACCATCTTTAGTATACATTTCAATATTAATACCAACATACCCCAATATGGATAGCATAAATATATATATTTATTAAACCTCTCAAGTTTTGCTACGTACCTTTTCGTACACATAAAAGCAATATATACACTAAAACATCGATGAGTACCACTTCGGATTAATACTTTAGTGACACCCACGAAAACTGAAAAATTTCATTTCTTCAGTTGTTTTAGAATAATAAAAATATATTATTTTTATGTGTAGAAGTGGCATGTCGCAAAAAAGCACGACGTTCATGATATTTTTCATGTAACCCACATTGGGCTATCCTTGAATTGTTGTGGAGGTACTGAAATATATGTGTACAATCTTTTGTTTAAGGGGATATCAGATGGCGCGGCCACATTATACTCCTAGGATTATACAAGAGTTGTCCTCAGACATATCTATGTGGTATAACTTATTTTTCGTGTGAATAACAAAATTGTTATCGGATGGAGATTTTGAGGATTATATATTAATCTGTTGTCTACGGTTAAAGAGCACGATGTGGGGCCGGAGAGCCGTACCATCACCATCACCAACTCTTATTTAGATAGAGAAACTCTAAAGAGAAGTCAAAAAAATATTGGCCAATTTATTTATTTTCCAAACTTTTGCTTTTATGTCTTTGGGTGACTTTGTTTGCGTCATATTTGTTGACTTAATTCATTAGTTCCCTACACTACATTAGCGGCAATTCGATATTTTATCCACTAAGTGTTTCGAAAGAATCAAATTTTAGAAATCTAATATTTTGGTAGAAAGTAAAAACTAATATTTTGGAAGAAATCATACAATCCGTCCTTATGCACACATTAATTATGTGATCACCCGTACGAAATCGTACAATCCATCCTTATGTACACATTATGCGAGAATACTTAAGAACTTAATTTGAAGTGTGTATTTATTTCCTCTGGGTCAAGTACTCATTTGGAGTTTGCCCCCTCCCTCTAGTAAACTATAAATATACTATATTTCTAACTCCTCATTGCAACTTATAGGTAGTTGAAAATTGGAGGAATCGGCTGGAGGGGGGCATGCAGTTGGAGCAAGTAAGTGTATGCACTCATATAGGGATAGAGTGCATGGAGCCGAACCCGAAGAAAAGACCGGCCGTACGGCATATAGTCGATAGGCTTGCTGAAATAGCAAGTATTGTCCAAACAGACATCACTGCTGCATCAGTTGAGCAGCAGGTAAGCTTCGAGCAGCACAGAATAGTAAGTACTTCTACAAATGAAATAGAGGATGGTGCACAACGTCTTCAAAGGCTTCAAAATGACCAATGCCAGGAGAAGGAAGATCAATGGTCAATACGGGGATTGCAAGATACGAATCAAGACCCGAAATACACAGGCATTTCAAGCTCTAACTCTGGTGTGTCCGAAAAGTTGAGAAATTTGAACATCTTAAACAGAAATCCACACACGGATTTCGTGAGGAATGGTGGATCTACAATGCAGCAACCAAATAGTTTAAAGATCTTCCTAGAGGAGGAGCTCAAGCCTATCTTACATACTGACAATTTAATTGGAGAGAATGAAAATGGTGTAGTTTACCGTGGTCAGCTCATAGATGGGACTGATGTTGCAATTAAAAAGTTACGTAATGGCATGTAAGGAACTCTGGATTAGGTTTGATCTTGGAAGGACAACACTTCCTTTACAGAACTTGAAAAACAGTATGCTATCCTCTGTATGATGTATCATATTGATTGTGGCTTGATATGGCACTGCAGGGGCCAGGCAGAAAAGGAGTTCAGAGTGGAAGTTGAGGATATTGGCCATGTAAGGCATGAAAATATTGTCTGTCTGCTAGGATACTGCGTTGAGGGAATCCACAGGTCAATCACTCTAACAATGTATATCTAGTTTTGTTTGTGCTCCAATATTTATTACTAGAGGTTACTTTTTTACACATTGTAGGTGGATGTGTGCAAATCTACTTTTTTACACATTGTATGGTTGTGATTTATTTCATCTCACATCCCTTAGTTCAACTTATTTTTATTCCAGGATACTTGTGTATGAGTATGTCAACAATGGAAACTTAGAACAGTGGATGCATGGCGCTATGCGGCAACACGGTGTTCTTACTTGGAAAGCTCGAATGAAAATTGTTCTTGGAATTGCTAGGGCGTAAGAATCAAATCATTTGCATGTTTTATTCTGCATAGTTTTAGTCGAGTAAGACATTTTCTGGAACTGAATGATATGCAGGCTTGCTTATCTACATGAAGCCATAGAACCAAAAGTTGTTCATCGTGATATCAAAGCAAGCAGCATCCTAATCGACGAGGATTTCAATGGGAAGCTTTCCAATTTTGGATTGGCCAAGCTGCTGGGTGCAGGGAAGAGCCATATCACAACTCGAGTTATGGGAACTTTCGGGTATGCCATAGTTTTTGTAATTTATAGTACTCCCTCCATTTTTGTATATACAAGGCCATAAATTCAAATCACAGGTACCAAGATAAAATTTAATACATGTCTTGAAACCTAACTTTTCTTCTCATTTACTGAGATCATTAATACACCACATGCATGCAAGAAATCTGGATGGAGGAAGTAGTTGAGTGTCATTATGACTACATTTATGCAAATATTAAATAAGTTATTAGTACGAGAAAAAAACATTAATTTTGTCTCGTTTACTGTTAGTGGCCTGTATAGATGCAAAATGTACTATATTTCATAGTGGTCTTGTATAAGTAAATGAAGGGAGTACTTGAGTTTAGTCATGGAAATATTTTGATATTCGCATACAGTATGAGGTTTTAAATGTTGAGGATTTGAGCGGTTAGTTTTGTAGGAGCACTTACCTTCAATTCTGATGCCATCGATCAGGTATGTGGCCCCTGAATATGCCAACTCAGGTCTGTTAAACGAGCAGAGTGATGTCTACAGTTTCGGTGTGCTGCTACTAGAAGTATTGACTGGGAGGGATCCTATTGATTATGATCAGCCAGCTAATATCACCATTAAATCATATATATATTGTTCTTTGGTCAATTTCGTTGTACGGGTTTGATATTGGAGAAAAATATTAGGGGGTGGACCTATGAAATGTTCCTTGATCCGCCACTGCTCAAGTTTACGATGCTTTCTCATACTCAGGAATACATACTAGTGAGTAGTGGCCATTTTTGTTCCAAGAGTAAAATAACATATACTAGGAGATGTTAGAATATATACATCGCGGGTGTGTTGGTCGGAGGAGAGCGACGAGGATCGGCTGCAGACTGGCCCAAGGTGCAGAGCAACGTACTAGCGCGTGAGTGCGGCGGCAGGCAGGAGGAGCCTCGAACGGATTCGATGGTGGCAGCGTTACATGAAGCGACACGAGTCCAAACGCTGACAAGCGTACATACGAGCGGGAGCGGCGGCGACAGATCAACCGATCGAAAATGCAGCGAGCAGCGGGTGCGCTGGTGTCACGCGGAGGCCGACTTGCTGGCCGAGCGTGCAGCTGGGCCCGATCAGCGGGGTAAGGCCACGAAGGCCGAAACACTAGAGCCAGCTCAAGCTTTGGGTTACGAGGGTGTTGTGGTGCATGTCTGAGGGTTTATGCAGCTTCGACACGACTGTGGCGCATGATTGATTCAAGGTAGTGTACACAGTGCTTGAAGTCAACAAGGCGTAAGGGTAGCTGATACCTCTTGAGCTTGTGTTGGTTTTCTTGAAAAGGAAAGGTGATGCATCAAAATAACATAAGTATTTTCCTCAGTTTTAAGAACCAATGTATCACTTCAGTAGGAGACAACACACAAGTCACTGAATACCTGCACAAAGAATTAACCACTTGCACCCAACGCGATAAAGAGGTTGTCAATCCCTTCACAGTCACTTGCAGGAATGAGATCTGATAGAGATAGATAAACGGTAAGTAAATATTTTTTGGTATTTTTGGTTTATAGATTGGAAAGTAAAGATTGCAAAATAGTAGATCGGAAACTAGCAAAATGTAAACGAGATTCAATATAATGGAAAAGAGACCCGGGGGCCATAGGTTTCACTAGTGGCTTCTCTCAAGATAACAAATATTACGGTGGGTAAACAAATTACTGCTAAGCAATTGATAGAAAAGCGCATAGTTATGACGATATCTAAGGCAATGATCATGAACATAGACATCATATCCGTGTCAAGTAGACCGACTCCTTCCTGCATCTACTACTATTACTCTACACATCGACCGCTATCCAGCATGCATCTAGAGTATTAAGTTCATAAAGAACGGCGTAACGCATTAAGAAAGATGACATGATGTAGAGGAATTAACTCAAGCAATATGATGAAAACCCCATCTTTTTATTCTCGATGCAAACAATACAATACGTGCCTTGCTGCCCTACTGTCACTGGAAAATGACAACGCAAGATTGAACCCAAAGCTAAGCACTTCTCCCATAGCAAGAAAGATCAATCTAGTAGGCCAAACTAAACCGACAATTGAAGAGACTTGCAAAGATATCAAACCATGCATATAAGAATTTAGAAAAGAACCAAATAATATTCATAGATAATCTTGATCATAAATCCACAATTCATCGAATCTCGGCAAACACACCGCAAAAGAATATTATATCGAATAGATCCCCAAGAACATCGAGGAGAACATGGTATTGAGAATCAAAGAGAGAGAAGAAGCCATCTAGCTAATAACTATGGACCCGAAGGTCTACGGTAAACTACTCATGCTTCAACGGAGAGGTGATAGTGTTGATGTAGAAACCCTCTGTGATCGAATCCCCCTCCGGCAGGACATCGAAAAAGGTCCCTAGATGGGATCTCACGGGTACAGAAGGTTGCGGCGGCGGCGGTGGCAACTTACGTGGGTCTCATACCCATCCGCCTCGATGCATTTTCTATCACAATCCGTGATAGACCTTTTGTAAAAGGGTCTGCCAGATTCTTAGCCATTTGGATATAATCCAATGTTATCACTCCAGAGTTTCTGGATTTTCTGACAGGTTTTAATCTTCTTCTTATGTGCTTTGTGGTTTTATATTGTCCTTTGAGCTCTTAGCCTTGACAATCACAGTTTGATTGTCACAGTTCATAAGGACAACCGGGACTGGTTTATCAACCACTGGCAAATCCATCAAAAGCTCTCGAACCCATTATGCTTCGACACATGATGTGTCTAATGTTGTGTGTTCTGCTTCCATAGTCGATCCCGTGAAGATCGTCTGCTTGCAAGATTTCCAGGAAACAACACCACCACCAAGTGTGAAGACATATCCACTTGTGACTTTCATCTCATCAGCATCAGATATCGAATTAGAATCACTATACCCCTCAAGTACCGCCAGGTACCCAGAATAGTGACACTACTGGAACTAGGATCTTTGCCGTCAGCCAGCTCTTTACCGTCAGCTAGCTGATGGCAAAGAGGGTCTTTGCCATCAGCTTGATGAAAACTGACAGCAAAGAACATGTTTGCCGTCAGCTTGCTCTTTGCCGTCCGCTAGCTGACGACTTAGAAGCTTTGCCGTCAGCTAGCCGACGGCAAAAAGGGTGGGTGGCCCACTAATGAGAAGAACTTAACGGCCACTTTATTTGCCATCAGCTAGCGAACGACAAAGAAAGTGCCCCACCTAACGGCCGTCCCCCCCGGCGCGACCCACTACCTAGGCTCTTTGCCGTCTGCTAGGAGACGGCAAAGAGATTTGACCTATCAAAAAAGGTCAGCGCCCGCGCCATCCTCTTTCTATCCCCTCTGTCTCTCTCCCCTCCCTGTGCCTGAGCCGCCCCCACTGCCGACCCCCACCGCCCCGCGCTCGACCCCCACCGCCCCCGCTGCCGCC